GCAAATTTCTTGAGCACGTTTGTGAATGAAATGAAAGTGTTAACTCTAAAGCCGGATCCACATTATCGAACCGAGCTACAACTCAAACTTTAAACTGAGCCACAAGCCGAGCATATTCGTGAACATGTAGGTACACAATTTTTTATCGAGCCGAACCTCGTGCAGTCAAGAAAATCGTCACGATCCACGTATTTAGGTAAACGCGAGAAAATGTGTTATGGATATGCATATGTGCGGATCGGCTCGGACTGCCGTCTAATCAACTTTCAGCCGAGTCATGTAACATTATTTGTTGTTTCCCTAAATAAGTACCTACCGGGAAAAGGGAGAAACACATTTACATTACGCTTACATGGGCTGTACTGTTTGTAAGAACATGATGGCAAAAACGGAGGAAAATTAAAAAAAATATGTATATAATAAAAAAAGTCCGTTGTTCATGTTTTTATTTTATTCTTTGCTTCAAATGTCCCACGGCCATACAATAACAAACTATGAATGGTTGAACAAACGCAAAGAAGCTAATTTCATACGGATGAAATTAGTAATCATCGTAGTCAAATCTTGCATGTGACGGAACAACTCTCAGGTGAACGTCATCCAAGTCATGACCGTCGCGATGATGCCTTTCATGATGAAGTCTGTCAGGGTGCACGTGAGGATCTTCGTAAATGGTAATGGTCGATTTGTCGGGGTGATCGAAGGTGTCGTACAAAACGCGGTGACCGTGTCCTGGATGGTAATGCTTATCCCTGTAGTAGTCGCTTGAAACTCTGTCGTGGGTACCATCGCGTACTTTGTCGAAGTGGTCGTTGTCTGCGTAGACCTTGTCGTGGTTGTAGTTTACGTTATCCTCGGCACTCTTAAGGCGACGTCTTCCTGCGGCGTGTTTATTTTTCTCGTAGTTCTCTCTCTGCTTATATGAATCGTCATAGTGCCCTCTTTCGTCATCTGAAGTTTTCAAAACACCGTGCGCTCCGGAATGGCTCTTCTCGTGTTCGTTACCACCTTCCTCGTCGTTTTCGTCATAATAACTGGACTTATTGCTGCTTTCGTCTTTGTGGTAAGTGTTATGAAAGCCGGAATTGTGGTGGCCTTTCCTCTGCGAGGATTTCGAGGCGGCGTTCGCGTGCGATCCACCTTCGTGCTTATTAAAATTTTGATCGGCGTAATTACCTGTGTCCAGGTGATGATTTTTGTCTTCATCTATCGCCGCATATCCACCGGACTCGCGTTGTTTTGAGTAACTATCTTCTGCTCCGCTCCTGAATCCGTCAGCTCCGTGAGCACTAGCGTATTTGGCATTATGGTGCGCGCCCAGGTTGTCGTCTTTATGTTTTCTTATGTAGTCTCCATCAGAACTTATTGAAAGTGATGGAATGCAAAGAACTGTGGTAACGAACAGAAGCGTAATAAGTAAGTGCACTATCATGGTTGAACAATTCACTATACTTTTTTATGCTTAGCTGTTCTCCAGTCTGCACCCAGTAATACTGAATATTGCTTAGTAAAAGAAGGCTTTTATATAAAACCATAAACGGAATTCCACCTACGTCTAATTCGGATGTATCAATTCAATTCGGTTAATGTGATAAATGTGACAAGAAGGTTACGTATTGTATTAATGACATTGCAGATTATTTTAGCTCTAATTACACCTAGAAATCATAAAAAAGTTAAGTTTTAGAAGGCGGATAACGAATTTCGAGGACAGATTTAAAACAAAGATGCCCACGCGAATGATTTTTTTTATTATTTCGATCGGACCATGACTTATGGTCAACTTAAAAATAAACTTACTATAATTTGTAAACTTTACCGTTACGCAATCTATTACTCGTATCGCAACGCGAAACTTTTGTGCCTACTTAAACAATGCTGTTAAATTTAATTTCGGGCGATGTAGTGACGTTTAGAAGTTCGCTAGGTAGTTTGATCCAAAGAAGCGCTGTTCTGAAGGATCCTCCCTAATATTTACCCCTCAAGAAAACTCGCATCCAGATAAATTTTCTCTCTGAACGATTCTCCCTCAGAAAATGCGCCACTCGAAAATTCGCTTTTAAACCTCCATACCCCTAATATTTTGCCCCTATAAGGTTTACAGCCGGAAGATTCGCCCTCTGAAGATTTTTTGCCTCCAAGGAAAACTCCCCTCCATCGAAATACTCATTCGCCCGCGATCTTTCTTTATGGTAAATGCACGTTCAGGAAAGCTCAGCCCCAAAAGATTTACTGGGTTTTAAGATTTCTTTCTGTTTCTGTATCAAAACTCGTCCCGAAAAGTTCATCTTCAAGAAAAATCACTTGCAGATAAATTTGCGTTATGAAAGATTCTCCTTATGCATTTGTTGCCCAATGTGAGTTGTGCTTAAGTGGTGGGGGTTAAAAATGTACCTACAAAAAGGGAATTTTTGCGGTTTACATTATATCTTATAAATGAGTGACAATATCGAAAACATTCCGATTATAATAGTTTTAGGGCGTTACCTAAATGAGACCAAACGCATATTTTCCGGGCGGACCCGTTTAAAATCTGAAGAAGTGTTACTATTTACACCCTGATTTACACTATATTAAACATAGTACGATATCACTATTTGCATTAATATTGATACACAATCCTTGAACAATAAGTCTTTCAAAATAACAAAATTTATAGAGTATGGGTACCATTTGGCTAAAAGTATGAAGAAAAGGGAAAAGAATAGGTAGATAGACAAATTTGACAGACGTCGGCGTTTAATTGTCGTTGGGCCACTCGGCTTCGCAAAGTCTGTTATTTCCGATACGAAGTCCATCACTCGGCTCTTCAAAGTCTGTAATATCCGTCGCTGCATATATGAAGTCCAGGTCTTGGGGAACATCTGGTTCGTGAATTACATCTGGTTGGAGTAGAGGGAATACAAGAGTTTTCCTTACCGTAGGCACACACCATTCAACACTTAATCCCAGCCTTTCGACATCCGCAATCGCCTGAACACCCCGGTTGCATTTTCAGAAAATTGTGGAAAGAAGAGCTGGTTCGTTGGGAGTAAAAATGGCGTCAAAACCAAACTTTGAGGCCTGCCATCCCCAGAGGATCCATCCATGTTTGTATTTGTAGGTAAGTTCTCAAGCAATGTTTGCGGGCTCCTTCGAATGCTAGTGGTAGGGATGCCAAGTTGATTTGGATTTTACGAGGTCTTTGGAAAACAGATCAAATCTCAATTTATGTATAGTATCACCGCCATAAACTCGGTACCGATAACCTCAGGAGTAGAGTGTCTTTTGTTTTCTTTTGGTAGTCACCGTATTTTGTGATGATTAATTGGAATGTATCACCATTCTTTCACACAATCTGGTGGAGCACAAAATCATCATCGATGAGAAAAGGTGATCATTCCAAATTTACCTCATACCTGTTGCTGTAGATGCGACTTCATACACACTCTCGCGACGTACCCTGTCTTATTGCACTTAGTGCAAGACACACTACTCGAATCACTGCGGCAGTCTTTCGCGACGTGATTGTCTCACCTACACCGCAGGCATAGACCATCTAGACCTAGTTCACCATAATTTACTGGGATGCAAGCATACTTCTAGTCCGGGAGCCAGTTGGCAGTTTTGGCGACCAATTGGAAGAAAGCTGGAAATTTTTTCTGTCGACTATTTAGATGTGCTGATTAATAAAATAAACATCAGCTGGCGCATTTGTGGTGGGGGTAGCCGCAGCAGCCACCCACGCATGTATAATAAAAATAAACTTAAAATCATAGTAAGAAAGATGAATCTTTGTAGGATCGTTTATTAGCCTATGTATAAATGAAAAAAAATAGTCAGCTGACTGCGCCGCGGTGGATTATACGTCAGCTGATTGGATAAACATGTAAAAAAAAACGTTAGATAAAATTAAAGTAAGAAAGCTGAATTTTGGTGAAATAATAGTTTACTACATCAGTTTTGAGAAAAAAATACTCCGCTGCAATTTCCATGGTGGGAAAGTCATCAGCTGGTTCACGAAAGATGATATGCGCCCGTATTTTGTGGCCGTCAGCTGATGACTTTTCCACCGCGGAAACTCCAGCGGACTATTTTTTTATAAAACTGATACAGTAAACTATTGTTGTAACAAATTACAACTTTGTTAATTTGATTCTTGCTTTTTTAGAGCGAGTTTCGTGCTGTATTTATGAAAATTAGCTCGATTCGGCAATTATCGATTGAACACTTTTTATTATTTACTTTTTTTTATTTGTATGAATACTCAGAAATTCTGTGACATTATATAATAGCACAACAGTTCCAACGGTTTTGAAGATGATGAAGAAGACCAAAGTAATGAAGAAGACGAAGATGTATAAATGTAAATTTGTTTGGTTTCCTTAGACGTTTTGTGGCTGCTTTTCCCCCGCCGCCTATGGTCGAGTTATCTACGACTGTTGGAGTTTTAGCGGCAATACAACTTCGCGAAGAGTACGAGTTTAGCAACCAAACCAAGAACGTACATATTCTAAAATGCGATTGAACTCGCACATTTACAAGCATTAATTGTAATCGATTTTTAGTTATATTATTATTTGTATGAGAAGAAAATACACCTTTGTTTATAGTTCGTATTGGTGTGGTTTTCCTTCATCCAACGCAACGTTAGCAGTGCTTTCCAGCACCTATTATACAGTCCATTAAACAGCATCAATCATCATATTTAACATTGGACCTTCGAACCGGACGCAATCGTGATTGAACCTGGTGAAATTCGAGACGAAGTTATCAGCTGCCGAAGTAAAAAACGATACTGGAAATCATCGATATCGCAGGTGCGTCCGATCTATTTTATATCCTTTGTTTTGGCTCCTTGCATGCGTTTATTTTGGCCGTTGGTATTTGAATTACAAAGTATTGTTATCAAGTTATCAAATTGTGTCGCATTTTCTCGAATTATTTCAAACATACTTGCAACGCGTATTATTGGTTTAAACTTAGTAGTATTTGTTTGAGATAAATATTAAAATATTAGCATGGAGCATGAAAGGCTTATCAAAAAGAGGGGTTCAGTCAAAGCAAAGTTAACAAATTTTCAAAAGTATGTGGATAACTTGGTGTCTATTTTTCCACAATTTTTAATTGAAGATCAAGTTGTTTTTATCGAGCTTAAGCAACGCGTAGATCGTTTTCAAGGCGTGTTGGACGAATTCGATGGTATACAGGGACAGATAGAATTAATTAGCGACGACCCAGAGGCACAATATCTCGAACGCGAAATCTTTGAGGCCGCCTATTACGGAATAGAGGCCAAAGCCAAACGTTTTTTGGTACAAAATATAAAGAGCGATGTCTCTAATAGTACTATAGTTAGTAACGAGACGAAAAAGGCTTACGGGGTAAAGCTACCGATTATTGAAATCTCTACCTACGATGGAGAGTACGAAAGGTGGCTTGAATTTCGGGATACTTATGAATCGTTAATACATCAAAACATAAACTTATCGAGCGTACAGAAATTTCATTATCTCAAATCGTATCTCGGTCCTAGCGTGCTTGAAATTATCGCAAGCTTAGAACTATCGGCAATAAATTATGAAACTGCGTGGGCTTTGATTTGTGATAGATTTAATAATAGTAAAATGTTAATTCAGAATCATGTAAAGGCTTTGTTCAATGTTGAAAAACTACAAGTAGAATCTTCCAGTGGTTTGCGTAAGTTGGTTGATAGTGTTGCCAAGCATTTGCGAGCGCTCAAAACCCTAAATGAACCTGTAGAGACTTGGGATACCCTTGTTATTTATATGATAAGTGGTAAGTTGGATGATGTCACACTTCGCAAGTGGGAACAAATAAAGGTGTCCTACACGGTACCTACTTTAGACAATTTATCTTCTTTTTTGAAAGAGCGAGCTTGTCTTCTTGAATCCATTGAACAAAATAAAGCTGTCGCTGTTGAGGGCTCGGATGCAAATAAACGAAATAAAAAAATTAAATCCTTTGTTACAGAGAATTCGAGCGTAAAGCCTATTTGCTCATTTTGTAAACAAGGACACTATGTGCAAAACTGTCCAGAGTTTTTAAAATTAAGTCCGGAAGAACGTTCGATAGAAGTGAAGAAAAGACATTTGTGTTTAAATTGTCTAAGGTCGGGACACATGGTAAAACGGTGTTTTTCAGGCCCTTGTAAAACGTGCAGGGCGAAACATAATACGCTTCTACATTTCAACTCGAAGCCTGACAGCAACGCAAACGCGTCTGGAAGCAACCAAATCGAAAACATTGAAGATATGCACCGGGAGCGTGTAAACTTGTCCTCCTTAAACATATCAACCAATCAAGTATTATTAGCTACGGTGTTAGTTGACATTCTTGACAAACACAACAAGCCATGTACTGCGCGTGCCTTACTTGATGCCGGTTCTCAAAGTAGTTTTCTCACCCAGCAGCTTTCGAGAAAATTACAGTTATCAGAAAGCTCAATCAATATTAAAATTTGCGGATTTAGCGATTCCGAGTCAGAGTGTAAAAGCAAATGTGTTGCACGCATTAAATCTAAGGTTAATGATTTCTCCTTTGAGATTTCTTGTTTAATAGTTCCTCATATAACGAGTAATTTGCCTAATTTCAGAATTAACAGAAGCAAGTTAAACATTCCTCCCAACATAACTTTAGCTGATCCCAAATTTGATTCAGCAGGGAATGTAGATATGTTAATAGGGGCCGATTATTTTTGGGATCTAATATGTGTAGGTCAAATAAGGTTGGGTGCAGAGGGCCCGTTTGCACAAAAAACAAAATTAGGTTGGATTATTTCGGGTCGCATGGGAGGCGGATCGCATCAAAGGGTACGATGCCAGCTCGCTAAAAATATTGACGTTGACGAGCAGCTCACGCGTTTTTGGGAAATTGAGGAGTTCCCACGCACCAAGCTTATGTCAAATGAGGAAAGGGCCTGTGAAGATCATTTTCGTAAAACATTCAAACGCGACAGTGACAATAAGTTTATTGTAACAATCCCTCTAGTAGAAGATCCAGATAGGTTAGGGGACTCCTTTGATACAGCGCACAAAAGGTTCTTATCCTTGGAACGAAGGTTTGATCGTGACGACTCCTTTAAGACAGAATATTGCAAGTTCATGAGCGAATATGAGAGGTTGGGACATATGCTTAAGGTTGACAATAAACAAAACAGCGCAATTTCTTATTATTTGCCTCACCACGGCGTCTTAAAGGAAAGTACTCTAACAACCAAACTTCGCGTTGTATTTGATGCTTCGTGTCCTAGTACGTCTGGAATTTCCTTTAATGATTTGCAGATGACAGGCCCTACCATTCAGTCAGATCTTTTCAGTATTTTGATTCGTTATAGACAGCACAATTATGTCATTGCCGCTGATGTGGAGAAGATGTATCGCATGTGCAAAATAAATGAAACCCAAAGGACCTTACAACGTATTTTGTGGCGCAACAACAAAACCGACGAAATAGGCACTTATGAATTGCAGACCGTTACTTATGGTACCAAATCGGCAGCGTTTTTAGCGATAAGATGTCTCTTTCAGTTAGGAATCGAATGTGAGGCGGAATTTCCCGAAGTTGCTCGAGCAATAAAGGAAGATTTCTACGTAGACGATCTTCTGACGGGTTCCGAGACCGTAGAAAAGACGGTTGAAATTGGAAATAGCATAGCGTTGACACTCGGTAAAGCTGGATTTTATTTGCGTAAGTGGGTATCCAATAGCAACAAGGTTCTAGAAGGTATACATACTAACGATAAGGCTGACTCAATTGATTTAGGCGTGAACGAGAACACAAAAACTTTGGGATTGTTTTGGAATGGCCAAAGGGACTGTCTGTTCTATAAAATAAGTGATGGTTCCCGGAAAAATATCACTAAACGCGTTGTTCTCTCGGAGATATCACAATTATTCGACCCGTTAGGTCTATTAAGTGCGACCATAGTTCTAGCAAAAATTATTTTACGTGACATATGGTTAGAAAGGTTAGAGTGGGATAATTCCTTATCATATAGTTTACATTCAAGATGGTTATTATTCCGAGATCAGTTAAGTTCTTTAAATAGCCTTGAAATAGGCCGTAGAGTAATCTGTACAAATCCTATACTAGTTGAAATGCACGGATTTTCGGACGCCTCGGCCTATGCCTATGGCGCTTGTGTCTATATTAAATCGGAAAACGCTGAGGGCGATACTTTAGTTAGACTTGTATGCGCAAAATCAAGGGTCGCACCTCTTAAAACGCAAACCATTCCTAGGTTGGAACTTATGGCTGCGTTGTTACTCTCAAGATTAGTAAACAAGGTAAAATCGTCTTTAAAGGTTTTTATTAACAGAGTCGTCTGTTGGTGCGATTCTACGATCGTATTAGGTTGGTTACGTATGAACCCTAACTCACTGCAAGTATTTGTGGCTAATCGTATTGTAGCAATCCAGGAGCACGCGGACGTCACTGAATGGAGACATGTTCCAACGCAGGACAACCCCGCTGATTACGTTTCTCGTGGCGTTAATCCATGTGATTTGTTAGCTCTTAACACCTATTGGCTAGGCCCTGCGTGGCTAAAGCTAAATGAACAGTTTTGGCCTACAAAAGGGATTTCGCAAGAAAGCTTGCCTGAAGTGCGCAAAATAGTGCAAACAAATGCTGCTACTACGATCGATTGCGTTATTGATTTTTCGAAATATTCTAGTTTATGTAAGTTAGAGCGCGTAACATCAGCTTACTGCTTTCGATTTAAACAAAATTGTCTGAATAGTCCAGTCAAATTAGCGCAATTTTGGACAAATAAAAACATTAATTGGTAAAGATCTGAATTTTGGTATACACATTTATTGGGACTTTCTATTGAACATATTAAAAGTCCCTGTCAAAATCTGTTGCGCTCGAGACGCCATCTTGGAAAAACGGTACACTTTTCCAGTTTTTTGCCCATGTCTCGGCAATTATTACTGACACGAAGAAATAGTTTACATGAAAAATCTAGTTTACTAAATTCCCTATAAAAAAGAGTATTTACATTTTTTTTGTATCTCCAGTACTTTAGCTGTAATCTCACGTTGAATACGTCAGAACGCGTTTAGGCCCCGTATCGTAATATTATAGGAGGCCGTCTTTTTTATGACTACATCGATAGCTGTAATAGAGCCAAAAAATGAACAGAATCGTCGTGCGATAAAGCATTCTACCAATGACATAATGTTTGATGATACATCATGTTTTTTTCAAAAAGGTAAGCGAAAATGTGTAAAAGTGTTGGAGCAACGAAATGATTTCTGAAGCTGAAGAACGCCCTTATCTGCATAAGTATAACGTGCCTGCTAGTGAGAGATATTAAAACCGACATCGTTATCAGACCTTCAGAATGACCTTGACCCTGTTCGGACACTCGGTGCTCACATTGAAGATGAAAGTTCTATTGAGAGAGAGTTTTATGAGAAACCTTACTAAACGTGTCTCATACCAAGCTTGAGTGCGACGACTTCGCATATATAAGAAATACTGGTAGAATTTTCAATGAATTTTTAATGATTCTGCGCGACTGTTTCGAGAGCTCAGGATACTTTTGATTCCCTATTCGATGTCGGATTATAGCTAAAGTATTGGGCATACAGAAAAATGTTAATATGCTTTTTTATGGGCAATTTAATAAACTATATTTTTATCTGAACTATTTTTCCGTATCAATAATTGTTGCCGATATATAGGCAAGAAACTGAAAAAGTGCTCCTTTTTTTCAGAATGGCGCCTCGAGCGCAACAGATTTTGACGGGGACTTTTAGTATGTCCAATGGGGAACACTAATGAACATGTGTACCAAAATTTCAGATCTTTACCGATTAATGTTTTTATTTTTTCTTATTTAACTGGACTAGAAGGGCTTGGGCGAGCGCAAAGTTGGACCACTTGAAGCACGCGAAATAAAATATTCGGCTGATGTTCTCATCAAAATCTCTCAGCATAATTGCTTTTCGGATGAAATTCGTTCCTTAAGCCGAAATAAATTCGTAAATAAACATAGCAAATTATTAAAATTACACCCTTTCTTGGATGATCAAGGTCTGCTTAGAGTTGGTGGCAGGCTCGTGAACTCAAAGTTTCAATTTCACAAAAGACATCCGATCATTTTGTCATGCAAACATCCACTCACTAGATTGCTATTTCATAAATGGCATAAACTATTGCTACATCCTGGACCGCAACTTTTACTTTCTTCAATTCGTGAATATTTTTGGCCTGTTTCAGGTCGTAATTTAGCAAGAAAGGTTTGCCATGACTGTGTGGATTGCTTTAGGGCCAATCCCACTCCTATTTTTCCTATAATGGGGAACTTGCCAAGACAAAGAGTCAATCCAGCCCCACCATTCTTTACCACAGGCGTAGATTATGCTGGGCCATTTTCAGTTAGGGATAGACAGGGTCGCGGATTTAAGGTCACAAAGGCCTATATGTGCCTATTTGTTTGCTTTGTCACTCGAGCCATACATCTCGAGTTAGTTTCAGACCTTACTACAGAAGCCTTTTTGGCGGCGTTTAAGCGCTTCGTATCGCGTCGCGGTAAACCTAATCAGATCTACTCCGATAACGGGAGCAACTTTATCGGAGCTAACCATGAGCTAAAACAACTTGGTCACTTTTTATTAGAACATAATAATACTTTGACTGAATCTATCAATAATGAGGGTATTTCTTGGTCCTTTATTCCTGCTCATTCACCACATTTCGGCGGTTTATGGGAAGCCGGTATAAAATCTACTAAGCTTCACCTTAAGCGTGTTGCAGGTAATGCTTTATTAACCTTTGAGCGATTTTACACCTTATTAGTTCAAATAGAGGCGGTCTTAAATTCGCGTCCATTGACTCCATTATCTAATGACCCCTCAGACTATATACCTTTGACGCCGTCACACTTTTTGATCGGACGGCCCTTAACTGCAGTGCCTGAACTAGAATTCATGCAGCTTCCAGAAAACCGTCTCTCCCACTTTCAGCAAGTCCAGAGGCTTCAGCAACATTTTTGGGCAAGATGGTCCCTCGAATACGTGTCTGAACTACAGCAACGTGTGAAGTGGAGGAGTAATTACGAGATTTTAAAGGTTGGCGATCTAGTTGTCATAAAGGAAGACAACTTGCCTCCGTGCAAATAGCTTTTGGGAAGAATCGACAGCTTACACCCAGGCCGAGATGGAATCTCGAGAGTTGCCACTATCAACACCCGAAAGGGCCCCATTAAACGTTCATTCGCCAAGATTTGTCCGTTACCAATAAACTGATTATGTGGCAGTGTAGTTTGAAGACCTAAGTTAATAGTGTTTTCATAAACATGTATTTTGAAAGTGTTACCTTTCAAGGTGGGGGCCAATGTTTGGTTTCCTTAGACGTTTTGTGGCTGCTTTTCCCCCGCCGCCTATGGTCGAGTTATCTACGACTGTTGGAGTTTTAGCGGCAATACAACTTCGCGAAGAGTACGAGTTTAGCAACCAAACCAAGAACGTACATATTCTAAAATGCGATTGAACTCGCACATTTACAAGCATTAATTGTAATCGATTTTTAGTTATATTATTATTTGTATGAGAAGAAAATACACCTTTGTTTATAGTTCGTATTGGTGTGGTTTTCCTTCATCCAACGCAACGTTAGCAGTGCTTTCCAGCACCTATTATACAGTCCATTAAACAGCATCAATCATCATATTTAACAAAATTATCTGTTTATATTTTTTGTAAATTTATTTTAAAACGCATAAAAAAACGTCCCCAAAAAAAATCAACTCAATATAAATACATTAAATAATTACCGACGTTCACTTTGTCGGTACCATTTTCTCACTTACCGTGCACTCGCAATTCGCGTTTGAAGTTTTGACTCCACCATCATTAAAATCCTTTGGGGGTTACCATATTCCCTTTGTCGACACCCACTTCTGATCACCCGCAACAATTCGGATTTGAAGTTTCGACTCCACCATCAGTAAGATCTCGTCGGGGGTTACCACATTCCCTTTGTCGATACACAGTTCCGACGTCCCGTTCATTCGTAATTCACATTTTGGTAGATTTCGCTAAAATCCCGGCATAAAATCGTATTCAACTTTTGGGTACTTCACATAGCTCGACCTTCTATTAGTGACACGAGAAAGAGAGACCGCGATTCGCGCTGTAAGAAACTTTTGGGCGCCCAAAGTCGACTACCCCTCGAAGCGCGCCGCGCAAAAGGTGGTTTATTTCGCCCCTAGGAAAAAAAAACAAAATTCCGCCACGCAGGAGTTGTGCGCGTTGACAAGATCTTCCCGACGACACCAATTTGAAAACAATCGGAGAAAAACTGTAGAAGAAGATAGATAAAAACTGAAAAATCTCCAGGTTAGTATAATACGCTCGGGGATGGCGTCCAGATGTCGTCGACTCCAAATCTTGTAGCCCCATCCCTAACGTTCTTAATTACACGGCCCCGATAGTTACATGTACACTCCTTGTCTTTTTACAAGCGTTTTTCTACGGGCGCGCATTTACTGCCAGCCAGCCAGCCAGCCAAAGTGAGATTAAAAGCTACTTTTTACCAAAAAAAATTTTTTCAAAAATTTTTGCAAAAATGCGCTAAAATAGTATATTAAGATACAAGTGTATAATCAAGTCTTTAAAGCACGCGCAACGAGTTTAAGGGCACGACGCAAAGCGGAGTGCCTTTAACGTTGCAAGTGCTTTAAAGACCAATTATACACGTGTATCTTATAGTATTTTTTATTATACCTGCAGTATAATTTAAAAATAGGAAATTCAATGAAGTCATATTGACGTTATACTCGAATACATGTCTAATTAAGTGGGCTGGGTATTCGTAATTTCACGATTGCCGTGGAGATGTCACTTGACGTTTGCTTACAAAAATCATCGTCTTTGTGAATTAAACGATTTCCGTTGAAAAAGATAATACACCGGCCATTAAATCGATTGTTGTAAAATCTAAACAAACGTTAGTAGGTGTAAAATCCCTTCTATATTTTGGTGTATTCATTCAAAACTTTAAAGCAATGCTGCGATTAAAAAGTGGAACAGATTTGGAAGCATACCCTAAATTACGCGCGTTTGTGAAAGCTTCAACCAAAAGATAAGTACAAAAGCCAAAGAAATGTTCTGCATTTACAGAAAGCGACCTAAGAGGATTTTTTATTTCATCCAGATGACAGTTTCAAAAGTCATACTTGAAGTATCGTTTCTTAGCAACTTTAAAGCACGTGTGTTTTAAAGGCCCTTTTTCGCACGCATTTGAGTGTTTAAAACGGAGATTGTGATTCAGGTATAATAAAAAAGAAATTTCAATCGATATCAAGCTAATTTTCATAAATGCAGCATCCAACTCGCTCTAAAAAAGAAAGAATCAAATTAACAAAGTTATAATTTGTTACAACAATAGTTTACTATATCACTTTTATAAAAAAAATAGTCCGCTGGAGTTTCCGCGGTGGAAAAGTCATCAGCTGACGGCCACAAAATACGGGCGCATATCATCTTTCGTGAACCAGCTGATGACTTTCCCACCATGGAAATTGCAGCGGAGTATTTTTTTCTCAAAACTGATGTAGTAAACTATTATTTCACCAAAATTCAGCTTTCTTACTTTAATTTTATCTAACGTTTTTTTTTACATGTTTATCCAATCAGCTGACGTATAATCCACCGCGGTGCAGTCAGCTGACTATTTTTTTTCATTTATACATAGGCTAATAAACGATCCTACAAAGATTCATCTTTCTTACTATGATTTTAAGTTTATTTTTATTATACATGCGTGGGTGGCTGCTACGGCTACCCCCACCGCTATCTAGCCAGCTGACGTTTATTTCGTTAATCAGTGCATCTAAATAGACGCCAAAAAAAATTTCCAGCTTTCTTACTATAACGACCCTCAAATGTCAGCTGGCTCCCGGACTATTCGTGTACTACTCCGGCTTCATTTATTACTGAAATTGGTCGAAGAATCTCGAGATTCATGACCGTTAGGAATGCCTCGGCCTGCTCTTGGCTCACTTTGATATTTGGACACAGCTTACTTTAAGCTGTGATTTGGATGTCGACGCCGGTGCCATTACATTGATGGAGGTATTCGGTGCTGAATTGGTTGCACTCGATGAAGGTGGTGCATTGACCTTGACGCTGCGGCTATCTGCTCTGGCTGCCTCAAGCGCGATCGCTTTTTGAACAATATTGGTATTGGGTATTCTTAGATTAGTATATTAAAGGGGTAGTATACCCAAAATAAAAAAAATTGTAGAAGAAAATCTAAGAACAAAATTTCAAACCGGAGTTTTCTACGATGAGTAGTTTTCAAATTATTAACGATGAAAGTTTGAAAGACAGAACATGTGACGTCATCCCGACATCGTGGGTGCGGTGGCACGGGTCCAAGCAGTCCGAACGCGTCAGTTCTTTCATATTCTATTTCGATTTCCTTTGAAAAAAAAACAAGAAAACCTTACTGAAGTATCATCCGAACATATATCCTCATATATTTGTTAAATTTCTGTACCCAGCTCACATTGGATACCTATGCTTTCAGTGTTATTGGTTCCATTTGATTCAGTTCTTCTGTTTGATTGTGGCATATGTTTGATGTTGAACTGGTTTCTCCACTACGAAATTGATCGTTTACCCACAATAAGCAATCAGACACAATCTTACTTTCTTAGATAATAATGAGTTGACTGACGTTTAATAGCTTTATTAGGACCTTTGTTGCCTGTGAGATGTAAAGAAGGGATTGCAGTATTGTCAGCCTTCTCAAAACTTTATGCTGAGGCACAGGGTCCTTTCCTTCTTGTATCTTCTAAAAAAATTATTATCTTTAAAGTGGACACTGCAAACGACGTGACTATGTTATGATTCAGCGGCTTTTTCTACTTTTCCAGACGTTGTTTTGACACTGCTCCTTCTTTTCTCGGGGAAAATATGCAATGTAACATTGGCATTTTTCAAATTATTGTTGCAGCGGAAAACACAAAGTTAAGCATTTTTGAAAATAATGCAGATCACTGAGTACCAGTCTCAAATTAACACGTCAAACGTCATAGAATCCATATATTGCTATAGCGCGTCACCGACCCATTTGTCGGGATGACGTCACAACGACCGTTTTTTACATTCGACACCTTGCCATTTAATAACGAAACGGCGTAGCGACTTGCGGTTTTCACCGTTACTCTTAGATATTTTTAATCTATCTTTAGTCGAAAACATGAAATTTGGGTATACTGCCCCTTTAAGTGCTCTGTAATCTAAGTAGGTATCTCTTATATCTCTTATAAATTGTGCTCTGTCGCATTCGCACTTCATTAGAAATTGGCAGGATTTGAGACCTTTCTGTAGATCTGCTACGTATTCAGCAATTTTTTGGTTTGCCCCTTGCACGGTCGATAGAGAAAAATGCTGCGACACTAGCATATACTTCTCCGGCGATAAATGCTTTTCTCGTTACTAACTCTTCATTAGACAGGTCAGGCCGTTGCACTAAGAGTAAATAATGCCTTAAGGACTTCATAGTAAACAGCTCCAATAGATCGCCAAGGGGACCTTGTTTGGATTTTTCTTTATCCCCGTAAACTTCCCTCAGCCTAAGATAATTTTCTAAATGCGCGTGGTATACCCGAAAGTCTTTCTATTTTTCATCGAATATTTCGAAAGGAGGAATATTTAAAGATGACAGCGGTAGTTGAACATCCGTCTCGGCTGTCGTTAACATGGTGAATTAATGCACTATATTTATCGAATTAAAATACGGACACCCACACGTTCAAATGCAATAAAAACACTTCCAGCATTTGCACACGATTTGCAAAAACAAAAGTAAAAGGTTTGCCTCGTCATTCAAATGTAAGTGGGATCTGATTAGCTTTTTGGAGGAATAGCCACACCGGCGCCGGTGGCCATTTTCAAACGTTACCCGGGTTAATTTTATTTCCCTGTTAATGTAGTGTGAAGTTAGCCTACAACCTGGGAAGTAAGTGCACTACGGTTGTAAAGCAAAAGCAGTATTTGTAGACTTATAAATAAACTTGTAACAAATATAGCAAAGGGAACGGAGTTATCATGCACACAGAGACGGACGGACAGAATCACAGAAAGTGCAAATGACCAAAATGAATTAGTCTCTTGATCATTATCTACCCATTACTAAAAACAGAATTGAAAAATCTGAAACCATTCGCGAGATATCATATAGGTATACAAACGGACGCATGGACGGGCAGAAAAGATTGCTGTTGTGAGTAGGTACCGGGTGACCCAATAAGACTGTTCCTCGCCCATATCTCGAGAACCGTTCGTCGTATGACTTCAAGGTCAAAAATTTATTGGGTAAATCGGTTATGAAGAATCGCTGGAAAATATTTTCAAGTTCTAAATATTACCACCAGAGGGCGTAACTGCCATCTTAAATTTTAAAATTGCATTTTCTTTAAATTTCGCATAATAAACTAAACATTCTTTTTTCGCATTTTTAAAGAGAACCTTTTTATCTATCATTTTCGTAAAAAAAAATATTAAAGGCTTCTTGGTTAGAAATCGGCATTTTACAAAAGATTACAAATTCAAAAAACTACACTTTCTGAATGTAGACACAGCAGATTAATTTACAAATTACGGCTGTTATTATTTTATAATGCATCCTGTTTCATTTGTTTAATTTTCTAAGGCATACCTAAAAGTGTAGGGTGCTTTTCTTTCGCGCCATAGACAAATACCGGAAATACGTAAAAAGTAAATTAAGTTAAGCATTTTTATTAATTAATTAATTAATCTCATTTTCCCAATATTTAAGGTTAGGAACGAGATTTTGAAAATCGGTTTTCACTGGCCTCTTTGGATGTTATTTCCCTACTTTTTTATAAAGAAAAAGTCATATCATTCCATTTGATTTTTTTTAAGATTTTGTACCATAGTGTCAAAACTAGCCCCCTGGCGGAGAAGGATTCAACTAAATTAACTATATGTTGGTTGATTCTCATTACCCAAGGAATGTTCTTTTCAACCATACCAAATTTGTTAAAATCGGTCAAACATTATGGTTACTCTTTGGTCAAACGATTAAGAAGTTAAAGCAGATTATTGCAAAAACAAATTAAACGCTCCACACCATCTTTGTTTTTGAAATAACTGAGTTTTTGTTTTTACGAAAATGATAGATAAACTGGTTCTCTTTAAAAATCGGAAAACAATTTTTTTAGTTTATTATGCAAAATTTATAGAAAATGCAATTTAAAAATGTAAGATGCCAGTTACGCCCTCTGTTGGTGGTCATTTTTGGAACTTGAAAATATTTTCCAGTGATTCTTCATGACCGATTTACCCAATAATTTTTTTTACCCCTAAGTCATTTGGCACTTTTTAGATGTTACCTCAGTAATCGCTTGCAATGTGTTTCATTTAATAATCAAATGTCGGACATAGAACCAATCTTGTTTGGCGTACCACAAGGATCAGCCCTAGGTCCACTTCTGTTCCTGGTTTACGTTAACGACCTGACCTACCGAATGCGGTTAATATAGGGAAATGCGTCCAATTTGCGGATGATACAACCATCATTTGCAAATCTACAAACCCATGCGATCTGAGTAAGTCGATTGATATAGCCGCTACAGAAGTGCAGAACTGGCTTGACTCCAATCAACTAAAACACAATCCCAATAAAACTCAAATCATAACATTTACTAGTCAAAAGTCGGTACACAACAGAAACCATGTCAAATTACTCGGTATAGTCATTGACAATGAATTGAATTGGGAACCGCATATTGATTTACTTTGTAACACGTTATCTTCAAGTATTTATTTATTAGTTAAGCTCAGAACATCTGTTGACAAATCTGTCCTCTTAAATTGTTATTTTGCATTTTTTCACTCGAAAATCAGCTATGGAATAACTGTATGGGGCAATGCGTCTCAGGCTATAAGAGTTTTTAGACTTCAAAAGAAAGCGCTTAGAATCCTAGTCAATATTGGTTCGAGAGATCATTGTAGAGGTTACTTTAAATCTTATAAAATTATGCCAGTACCCTGCCTATATCTATACTATATTCTAATTGAAATACATCGCCGAATAAATGCTCACAGTAAAGTGTCAGACAGGAGTAGTCATCAATATAATACTAGACATCATAATTTGTTACTGCCCTTTAAGTTAAGGCTATGTGTATCGGAAAAAAATTCTTTAAATGTCTTGTTATATAACAATCTAAGTAATACCCTGAAACAACTGTCGTTCAATAAATTCAAAGACTCACTAAAGAAATATCTACTAGACAAATGTTATGATAGCATAGAGGAATACATGCTTACTACTTCATGTTCGATGTAAATTGTTTGTTCTTATTGTGTTACTGTGTTGTTTTATACATTTTTTTGTTACAATATTTTTTAAATTTTTCATATCTATCTGACGCGCCCAAACAATTGTAATTATTGAATGGGTCAACGAAATATATTACTATTACTATTACATATGACGAACGGTTCTCGAGATATGGCCGAGGAACAGTCTTATTGGGTCACCCGGTACACTATTATTAACAAAAATGAAAAATAATAAAAGTGGCGTCCATTAATCGCATGCCACTGGAAGTGAGGAGGAGGTCGAAAACATCACTAATATTACTTGGGGTGAGTAGTGGATGTAGTAACATAATCATGTGTATTTATTTTTTTGCTACAAGCTATTTTTATGCATCTATCTCTTAGACCATGCAGTGCAGTAAATACATGGACTACTAATTGCAGATAAAATATGGCCAAGGGCATCGCCTGAGTATGTGAGTTTCACGAGTCTGTTCAAAGTTGTCCGATGAGACTGTCAACCTATAAATTAACAAACGTCAATGGGCAGGTTCGACATTTTTTATTTTAACTGAAATCGAGATTTTGTTATTAAAAAAACGATCAGAAAAAATTGGGTGAAATATTAATATTTACGTCCGCTGTAAGCACTTTAAAATCAAGGGTCGGCGCGAAGCAAGAAAACGTAGGTATCTGTGCGCGAGACTACCCCGCGTGACGTCAGTAGCCAGAAACATTTGCCGCCGTACTGGCACAGTATACGAATGTATACACACAGTGTGTCCCCGGATGGACTCAACAAGAGGGAAAAAAATTTTAATTTTAACTTTACGCAAAAATGTCATTCTTTATAAAAATTTTTGCTTGATTCAAAACCACCTATTCTGAAATAAAAATCTAGATGTTCCTTTTAGCAGCTGAGAAAATTACAAAAAACGCAAAATCTACAGCGGAAATTTTTCTAAGTTGCATGTTTTTGATTAAATCAGACTATCATTGTATCTTCCATGGCAACCTGATAAGCAAATCAGGTTAAAAAAGACACCTTAGAGCTTAAGAGGAACATTTTATTTTATTCAATGTGGTATCCTCCAACCTCTTGTTCAGTCCATCCGGGGGGACACTGTATACAGGGTGGTGAGTTGCGTAACGCATCATAGGAATTTCAATGTAAAATAGCATGCGATTATTGGCTCCCCAAATTATTTTAGAGCAAAAATGTATTAAGGTTTTTTGTAGAAAAATTTTTTTTACGTCAATCAACCGTAATTTTTGCATAATAAAGACGGAAAATTTGAAAAATAAAACTCCCATCTTTTTAATAATCTGTAATGCCATGGAATTTTATAATAAAAAAACTACGCCAATATCCGTCATGCCATGGAATGTCTGCTATAAAACAAATCAATTTATATCAAAAAGTATTATATTTAAAACAGCGAATTCAACATAAAGAAAGACCAAATTACTAAAAACGGTTTCCTAATATAACAATTTACAATAAATGTTCGAATAAGTCGCCATTAACTGCAAGACAGTAACCAAGTCTATCATAAAATCCATTTCGAACTGCTGTAAATTGATAACTGAATATCTTTTTGTTTTAGAAAATTCCATGGCATCGCAGATTATTGAAAAAGATGCGGGTTTTATTTTTCCAATTTTCCGTCTTTATATGAAAAACAGTCATTATAATAAAAACCTGAAAAAATTGACTTTTATTCACTCGGAATTTGGCCCCAATATGGCGTCCTTAAAATATTAGCATGCCTTTAAGGAACACCCTGTATATGACTAAGTAGATAAGAAAAGTTATTTTATATAAGATTTCTTGTCAAAAGTTAAGAAAATCGGATCTCAAAGCCTTCCCTATACATTTGTAAATGTATGGGGAAGGCTTTGAAATCCAATTTTCTTAATCTTTGATATCACTTAATCCCATTTAGAGGAATGATGGATCATGTTCAAAAATAGGATTTTCTATATAATCACAGGACACCTATCATGCGACTATACAGGGTGTTAAGTATGAACAAAAAATAGGGTGCACTTTTTCCAAATAAACCAAGAGTACACTGTGTTTCGTTTAGGAACCACCCTCTAAAAGTGGTGAAATTTGCATTTCTTCTTTAATTTTTTTCTCAGCAACCATAAGAGTTACAAAGATTGGTGGCACGTCTTTGAATAGGTTTTGGGATATGCCCTTTCCGATTTTGCAAACTCCTCTGCAATTGGAAAGTCAGTCAAACAACTAATGTCTATCCTGGTCTCTCAATAGAAGATTAGCTTTTCTTATGGCTCAATTTATGATACGGAAGAGTACCTATCACATCCTCCTTAACAGATAGATGCATAAATACAGAGAGTATGAAGCTAACTTCAAAATGACCAAATCACTATCTGAATCCTAACCACATTTCAAACAAAATTTGTAAGAATTACAGAATATTCACAAATGTCAATGACCATGGAAGATAGTCGTAATAAACTAAACACATACCTACAACGTTTAGACATGATTAAAACACTCCTTTGCAGAAAAAATGAACCACTACATTCTTTATCAGTGCTAAGAAAGAAAAACTTTTCCTAGAAGTAATTAACACTGTTCTATTAGAAAAATATAAAAATCTTTACATTATTAAAATTCGATAATAAATTATTCATCAACTTCCATTTGTGACCCATTGATTTCAATTTCATTTGGTTCATTTTCAACTTCCTTGTCTTCGGAAGCAACTCCTTGTGGTGTTTCGATTATATCATCATTACCATTTTGCTGTGGTTCTGGAATCATGGCGGTTTGCTTCGGTTTATCATACACTCTTGGATTAATAGTAATTGACTTAGTGCAGTTAAAGGTTTTGTATATACCAATTAGATGATCGGACAGCTCAAACATATTGGATCTTAGGGAGATGATAACAAATTGCGCATTTTTTGTTCGTTCCTAGTAATTGAGAAATGTAATTTCATTTACATGATTCTATTACTTACTTTAATATAATTTGCCACAATGGAAACATTCTTAAAATCCAGAGCTGCATCAATTTCGTCCATCACGTATAAGGGAGACGGTTTATAATAATGCAAAGCGAATACTAATGCCAATGAAGATAACGTCTTTTCGCCGCCGGATAAATTTGATATATTTTTCCACGATTTCTTCGGTGGACGTACACTAAAATGACATATTTACAGTAACTAATGTATTTATATTACTGAAATCAGTTTCAAGTGGGCGGGGCCAAAGCTATAAGGTGATCATATTTATAACACCGAGTCCTTAAAAATAAAAAATACAAGCATCCAAAATGCCATTGTGTAGACACACATATTCAAAAAAGTTAGCAGCTCTGTAAAAAAGAACTCCAAACCCCAATACTCCATAAAAATAACCAGTAAAACCAGTAGGGCGTTTAAGGCAGCAACTACCCTACCACACCAGACAATAAGTGACTACTCACTTGAATTGAATACCTTCCGTAAATGGATCAAATGTATCAACATATTCAAAATCGGCGTCTCCTCCTAAAGTAATCATTTGATACATCTCCTTCAATTTTAATCGAATAATATTATATCCGGTTGCAAACTCCTCCTTCCTTTTCTGTCTAACATTATCTAACGCCTCTTTAACTTTAGCCTTCTTTTGAGAAAGTTCATCTAATTCTTTTGATCTTTCAATAAATATCATTTGTTTCTTTCGATACTCCTACAATTAAAAACAGATAAAATACTTCAATAGGATCAGTAGTTGAAATTACTGTTATTGCGTTTAGATTAGGTTTTGCACTTTTAATTTGATTCTCTTGGAATGTCAATTGTCGCTGTATATTCCCAATGTTTTTCTCTTTTAGCTCATCTTGCGTAAACTCCTTCAATTCCTCTGTGGCTTGGTCGGGTATCTCTTGAAGCTTCAAATGAGCCAACTGCAAAGCAAAACATTGCGCAACAATCATAATTTAGCACTAACTCACCTTCGACCTATAACCGTGAATCTGTCCCTTATGCTCATTAATCTGTGCGTTGTACGTTTTGCACTTCTGATCAACTTCGATTTTGTCCGATTTTATTTTGTTCTCCTCTTTTGCAAGGTCGGAAACGGCTTTCTTTAAATCTGTATTTCGGAAAAATATAGAAATCACACACCTATCACACTTTTGCCAGTCTTCTACATTCAGGAACTAATGCTACTTTATTAGAAGCAAATTTTGCTTTGCTTATGCGCACAAAATTATCTGATGGTTTTAGTCAAAATTTCATTTAAATATACTGACTTGAAATTTTATGGATAAGCTTTTGTTAATATTCCTTTTTTTCCTCCACTGTACAACAATTTCTTCAAGGTGTGTAGCTACCTAAGTTTATGTTACGAGTTTATTCAGAATGTATACAAGGTCGCTGATAAGTGTGGAAACTGTTGATTATTGGAGAAAATATACAAAATATCGAAAAAAGTTTTATAAGAAAATTTTAGGGTTCTTAAATGCCTACTAGACAGTAATAATTTTAATTATACAGGGTTGGTCACCAAAATTCCATTTTTTTAAATGAAACATCCTATATATTATTCTATAATTCAATTCTTCTCTCAATTTTAAGCAAATTTGTGAGAGGCATAATGTACAATGTAAAATTGACTAATTGAGACAAGAATTATATTTAAAAAATGCAATATTGGCGTGCCACGTCTCTATGACCAGCCCTGTATAATTGTGAGCGTGATTTTCGCAATGATTTAAAGTTTAAACATTGGCCAACAATTATGAAATGGGTTAGAAGTTTTCGAACCACGAACAAAATTATGATGAAAAAACATTAGGTGGTACACGAACAGCCAACGTTGATGTGACAGCAAAAATCATGCATCCACTGAGTCATTATTTTTAGCTTGCGAATCGTAGGTAAACACACGTTGTTCTACAGTCCATGGCTCCATTGCGACTGTGATACCTAAATGGCCACTCACCACCCCATGATTCGCCAGGACAGGGCTGAGTACAGTTCCATCAAAAGTGTAAATACTTCTCAGTTGTGTTTAAAGATAGAGACTTGCGGTTTTCTCCACTTTTTTGTGAAACTTTTAATACCACAAACAGAATGAATGTAGCTACATTTGTTTCTGAGATACAGAGTGAAAACGAAAAGTTTGACTTTTTGGGTTATCGTATCTTACTGTCCATGTAAGATGGAAAAAGGGTAAAATTGACCATTCTAGATATTTTTACGTACAATCCAGTTGAATAGTAAAAAAATTTTTTATTCCCATCCTTTCTGAGATTTGATCCAAAGTTCGTATTTTTTAAATGCAACACACTGTATTATTTTAACGTCAATTTTTTGCATTATCTTTCCTGATTACATTGATGTATCACAATTTTTTTACTTTTATCCATGAACCAAAAATAAAAACCTTATTTTTTACGGCTTTTAAATAGTTAGGGCATAGATTCATGAAGATTTTGTTTTTATTGCATGGCAGCCAGTACCAATCAATAAAAATGGCTGACGGTAGAAACATGCCATTTCAAAATTTTGAAAAATATCATTTAATATACAGGTTGTATCCAATTTCGGGTAAGGTACAGAAATCTCGTTTATTAGCATACTTAGATGTGGTTAAACGGACAAAAATGATCCTAAAGTTATGCCTAAATAAAATCAAACAAAATTTACACCCTCTCTAAAGTTTCCTAAATATGGCAAAAAATAACATAATTTACATTCCCGATTTTAGGGTTTAAAATAGTTATTCGGGGAGAGAATTAAAATCTAAAAAGACTTTCTTTAGATAACGATTTCTGTTCTTTTAGATAATGGAAATGAGAAAAAAATCCTGATTTCAAAAATGTATAACAGGTTTATAAAAAAATCAAAATAAGGTCAAAATTAAAAAAAAAACATTTTGAGTGACATTTAACAAAAGCAATATCAATTAACAACCTGAATCTAACTTAGTTTATAAATATCTCCCCAAATAACGATTTTAAAGCCAAAAATCAAAAACGTCAATTATGTTATTTTTCGTCATATTTAGAAAACTTTATATAGGGGGCAAATTTTGTTTCTTGATTTTCTTTAGGATTCCAGGATCATTTTTGTCCATTAACCAACTCTCTATCTATGCTAATAAGCGAGAAGGAAAACGAATGCAATTGCTACAGCAATTGACGTTAAGATATGCACTGTGTCCAAGATAAGGTCTACCATGGGGATCTCGGAAACGGGAAACCATAGAGGCAGAGAAGATACGAAGATGGTCAAATTAGGGAAAAGTTGCGCAATTAAAGAGTAATTACTTAAAAGAAATTCAGAAAATTCCAATTACTTCCAAAGATATGCCAGAAAAATTCATTTTCATTCTTTTTATTAGTTTTTATTTTTCTTGTCTTGTAGAGCTCAAAAAGTGACATTGAGAAATTGTTTTTTTTTTATTTTTTGTATATGTTCAAATAACATCAGAAAAAAATAATAACGAAATTGGCAACTTTAGGTTTTTCTGGGGTATCGGAGGTAATCGGAATTTCTGGTTCTATTTAGAGCATGATAATACATCTTCAATTGCGCATCTTTTCTCTAATTGACCATCTTCGTATCTTCTATGGTTTTGGAGATCCCCATGATAGACATCCTTATCTTGGACACGGTGTATAGGGTGTTGAATTTAAAAAATACCGACAATAGGTCAAATCTCCGAAACGGTGGTCCAAATTTTGCTTTTTTCTATGGGTAGTAAGATATGATAACATGCCAAAAGTCAAATTTTTCATTTTCACCCTGTATTCCGGAAACAAACGCAGCTGATTGATTCTGTTTGTGGCATTAAAGTTCACAGAAAAGTGGCACAAGGTGGCTAAAACCCCAAGGCTATCATTAAAAACAGCAAACAGAGACACCGCAGTCTCAACCAAAATAGGACACACGGTACAATAACCCTTGAATATCTTGTTTTTGGTATTCAAAAATGGTTACGTAAATTATTTTATTTCCTTCCCAAGAAATAAAATCCTTAAGAATAAACCGATACAACGAAATATCGAAGGATCCTCAGTATTACAATAACTTTTAACGATAATTTATTTTAATGTTACAAAATACATCAAATTCATGTCTTGGCCATTGAGATAATGCTCTTAATCTTGTTTTGATCAAAATCCATGTGGTCGCCAAAAATAGATCAAATTCATGTTTTGATCATTGAGATAATGCTCTTGGTCTTTTTCCCAACGTTCTTGGTGCATAAATAACGATTTTGACATGTTTTGATCAAAATTCATGTGGTCGCCAAAAATAGATCAAATTCATGTTTTGGTCATTGAGATGATGCTCTTAGTCTTTTTCCCAACGATGTTGGTGCATAAATAACGATTTTGACATGTTTTGATCAAAATCCATGTGGTCGCCAGAAATGCATCAAATTTATGTCTTGAGCATTGAGATAATGCCCCTAGTCTTTTTCTCGACGATCTTGGTGCATAAATAACGATTTTGATTATTTTGATCAAAACCCATATGGCAATAATTTAACATTTTTGAATCACACACATGCGGTTATCAAATGTGCACGTGATGTACTCTTGCTGCATCAAGATAATGCGTTTGAAACCTTTTAAAACTCTAAATTCATGTATAAAGTGTAATTTTTGCTACATTTTGCTCTAAAACTTTCGACCTATACCACAGAGAAGAGTTATATTAAAGTATTACACATCTAAGAGTCATAGGGAATAATCTAGCGGAAGTCCCAACCCGATACATGACCTAGGGAATGAAATATGTTGATTTCTATTATATTGAGCCCGTAGTTTTTCCTGTTCCCGATTCACTCGAAGTCCTATAACTTTTGTTCCTATTGAACCAGCTTCCTGAAAATCAATAGCGTCCGTCCTTAATGTCCAAAGAACCCGTACACCAAATTTCAACTCAATCGGCCACTTTTAAAAAGAGTTAGAGCGCACACGGACGGACGGACGGACGGACGACAATACAAAACTATAAAGGATCTGAGGATCCTTAATAAATGTAAAAATCTGTATTTCGTTGAACTGAAAATTAATCTTTTGTATATCGTTAAAGTATAAGTTGGTTGTGAGTGCTTTTGTATTATGATATGGTTGAATATTCTCCACATTTTAAAAGTATTTGGAATTATACAGGGTGCGCCCACAAAGTAGGGCGCCCAAATGGTACATTTTTCAAAATAGAACCCCCTGTATTTGAATGCATTTTTGAATTCTATGTGTAATTGTACGTCTTTTTTATTATATGGTTAATATTCGAAAAGCTAGTAGTTTTAAAGATAATTCGATTTTTAAGAAAAATTGCGCATTTGCAAACGTCAGTATATATTGTCAAAATTATTACTTAAATTTTGATTCCAGGTTTTATATCTTTTATCCTGTGTTAAGTAAAAGTCAAATAAATACATCTACTATGAAACATTAAAATATAGCTTACAGGGTGTTTTTTTTGGTAGGTCCAAAGTTGCAAAACTTCATATTAAAAAATCGAACTTTTTTTAAATGGAACGCCCTGTATATTTTTCTGTCATCATTTATCTCCTCCAAAAACCTTCAACTTTTGGTAATAGTGTCTTATACCTATCTCTGATAGTTTTCGAAACATCATTTTTTTTCCTCGTTTTTACATTCTAATCTTAAATAAGTTAAAAAAATTTACATAATAGTGAGGTGGCCATGCAAAAAAAGGCAATTTTTATCTATCTCGTCCAAAACGAAAATCATATCGATTAATTTATTTTTCAAACAATTTATTTTAAGTCCAAAAACTGGAGAATAAGTAAAAACATTTGACTACAAAGCAAATTTAATGTAACTCCTAATGTCATCCAGTCAGTTAGATGATATTAGTTTCATTTTTTTTCATATTCACCTCGTTATTATATAAATTAGAACTTATTTCAGAAAATATAAAAAGTAGAAAAACCAAGATATTTGTTTATGTTTTTACTATCAAATTTATTCTCCAGTTTTTATAGACTTAAATGAATAATTAGAAAAATGAATTAATAAATATGATTTTAGCTTTGAACCAGGCAGATAAAATTGCCTTTTTTTGCATGGCCACCTCACTATTATGTAAATTTTTTTAACTTATTTAAGATTAGAGCGGATTAGAGTGTAAAAACCAGGAAAACAATATAGCAAACATAATTAGATTTATCAAACTAACGAAACTAGAAATATAACATACTGTGTCAACATGTATCACACGGCGCTAATGACCACGTAGTTGAAGCGTCTTAATTTCATTAAAAAAAAAAAAAAGATGTTTCGAAAACTATCAGATATAGGTATAGGACATTATTATCAACAGTTGGAGGTTTTTGGAGGAGCTAAATGATGACAGAAAAATATACAGGGTGTTCCATTTAAAAAAAGTGAGATTTTTTTATATGAAGTTTTGTAACTTTGGATCTAGAAAAAAACACCCTGTAATTTTTTTATAGTAGATGTATTTATTTGAGGTTTACTTAACCCAGGATAAAAGATATAAAATCTGGAATCAAAATTTAAGTAAATATTTTGACGATATACTGACGCAAATGCTCAATTTTTCTTAAAAATCGAATTATCTTTAAAACTACTAGCTTTTCGGATATTAATCATATAATAAAAAAGATGTACAATTACACGTAGAATTCAAATACAGGGGGTTCTATTTAAAAAAATGTACCATTTGGGCGCTTTGTGGGCGCACCCTGTATAATTCCAAATATTTTTAAAATGTGGAGAATATATATCATAATACAAAAGCACTCGATCGAAAAATCTTATCTTCAAGGCATTAAGTTACTCCGTGCAATCGTTGACTCACCCTGTACAATAGAGTAGTATTAGTGCGTACAATGAACATATAGCATACCCCCTAGCTTGGGCTGACGGCCAATTCCCAGGTACCAGGTGCTACAGGTACAAACAAATTGTACCCACTTTACTTACAGGCTGAGTCTTATGTATGTTGTAGGGAATATTGTAAACAATTAGAAATTAATACTGAAAGGTACCTACTATCGGCAGTATCCATTGCCAGACACTTTAAATATCGAAAGCACGCTATACGTAGCTATCTCGCTCACACTCAAGCGCATGTATCTGTAACACCTGGTATCTCACAATTGGCCATCATTGTACACACTAATACAACTCTATTGTACATATTTCGTCCATCAGAAAATAAGTACGGTCTGGGAGCCCTGGGATCTTGGACTAGAAGTTATCATTTCATGACGAGCAAATCCCGGCTGTTAAACAAGCTAATAACTGAGTGATCCTGATCAGGACGGGAGCCCGCCAGCACACTTATTTTTTTGCGAGGAAGAAATTACGTGTATTCGAACTGTATGAGTAAAACCTTAAATACCAATAGGATTCAATAATACTTTTTTGAATCTTCAAGATCGAGTTATAAAAAACCTTACTTTTTTCTAAAGTTATCCAAGTAACCAAACACAATTATTGCCATTCTCCAATGAATGAAACATTGCAAAATAAATGACAGTTATAATTTTACCTGCACACTGTTCTTCTGCATCACCTAATTCGGTAGTAATATTTTCAATACTCTGAAGTAACTCTTTTGCATCTCTCTCGATTTCTTCTCTTTGTGCCTTCATACTTCTCAATTTATTTTCCATATCGACTATATCCTGCTCCATAGTAGCAATTTTTTCGGTACTTTTCTTAAAGTTCCTAAAATCAAATGAGAATCGAAATTTTAAAAAATCAACAAAATAGCAATTGTTCACCTTTGCGCTGTCTTCGTCGCTACATTTCTACGTGTTATTTCAGATTTGCACTTATCAATTGTATTCTGTACATCCTTTAAATTTTTATCCATTGCTTTCATTTTTCCCACAGTTTTTTCCTTAATTTCGTGCGTTAAACGGTCTACTTGGACCTGTATTTCATTAGCAGCCTCAGTTGCTCGATCATAAAGCTGCTTCTTCTGATTGACAATTTGAGTAAGTTTTTTTACTGTCCCTGTATCGGCCTTTGTCGATTTACTCTTTGCTTTTTGTGTTTCTAACTGCTCGGCAATTAATGGCTCCTGCTGTTTCGATGACTGAAACGAACCAAGGTTAATTTGCATTTGTATAACGGCGAGATTACCTCAAGTTCAATTGTGAACTTATGCACATCAGTTTCCATTTGCTTTACTTCTGGTTCCAAAGTGTTAATTATGGCTTCACAATTTTCTTGTTCTTGACGTAGAATTCGAATTCTTTCCTCCATGTTTTGTAAAGTTTCTTCCATACGCTGCACATCTTTGGGATCGGTTGTAGAAACAGCAACCGATTGTCCCATCCGCCCGCGAGATACAGTTTTACCTCCTCCACTCATTGTTCCAGTTGTTTCAATTAGTTGTCCCGTTAAGGTTACAACTCGATACCTTTGTTTACCATATGCAATACGAGATGCTTGATCTAAATCATTTGCCACCAGAGTGTCTCGTAAGGCATAGTAAAATGCAGGTTTTATCCTATCATCTGCAATTTTAACCAAATCAAACAGCCGTGGAACGTTCTCAGGTCTAAAATGAAAATTCAATATATAAGTACACAAACATGCCTACGCACGTAACAATTGATGACTCTGCACGGCCTCTCAAATGTTCTTGTTTCTCCAAAGCAATAAATGTAGCACGGCCCACATCATTCCTTTTTAAAAATTCAATACACCATTGTGCTGTAGTAACAGTGTCCACTACAATATTATCTAGTGGACCGCACGCTGTTGAAATCGCCACATCGTATTTCTGATTGATGGCCCCCAAGTCTCCCTAATCGATTTATATTAATAATCGCAATTAAAAAAAAAAATATTACCAAACGGCCGAATAAACCTGGACACCTTCCCTCTCTTTTCTCCTTCATTAATGAGTCTAAAACTCTTCCTCGAGACCTGGTTGCTTGCATAGAAGATTTAACTTCGGCCAAAGAGGTACGGCGAGTTCTGATTTGATCTATAAATTCGGCTTCTTGGGCCTTCGCTTCTTTAAGATTATTTCTGGCTTCCGTCAATTTTTCTTTGTTTGCCGGAATTCTTTTCTTCAAATCCGCAATTTCTCTACTTCTAGAGTTTATGTTTTCTTTAATGTTGGCATACACATTCTGAATGTGTTCAAGTTTATTTTTTTCGTTTGCTTCTGTACTAACAAATATATTTAATTCTGATTCCGCCAAACTAAACTGAAATATAATACGTTATTATGATGTTTCACATCTCAGTAGCTAAACATACAGCGGACTTAGTTTCGTCCACTTCCTTTTTAAGGTCGACCAATTCTGTCTGCAAGTGTTCCTTTTGTTCTTGTAATTCAACAGTGGCCTCGCGCAGGCTAGCCAACAGTTTTACCTTTTCGGCTTGCAATTTCTCCTTTTTTGCAGTCATCTCTGCTTCTTTTACCATACATTCTTGAATAGTCTACATAAATCAGA